GTGCAATGCAACCCAATGTAATCAACCTAAGCATGCAAGTTAAGTCAATGTAGCATGAGCATGTCCAATGCAATGCGATGTAACCTAACATGCATCCAAACATGCAAGAATATGTGACAACATATCAAGCACATGACAAAATGCAAGCTAACAAGCATGCAAAATGCCCCTTAAGCATGTAAATATGCAAGGCATGTAACAACATGTGAAGCAAGCATATTTAAACCAATGTAATATATGCATGACGAACTTAACAAAGTGACATAAGCATGCAAGCATACAATGCAATAGGCATGCAACAACAATACCAATGATAAACATGCGACAACATGCAAGGCAAGCATGCAACAACATGAGGGAGTGGTCTTAAACCAAAATGGACAGCTCTCAAATAAGCCCAAATTAGTGGCCAAGATGCAATGGAAATGAGGATAAATGCACATACAAACATGCATGCCAATAGGCCTAAAGACTAAGGCATAAAAGGCAACTTTCAAGAACACTCAAAAAAAGACAAACATGGACATTAGATCAACATGTTAAGCTCTGAAAACATTGTAAGGGATGATGCCAAAACAAATAAACCATGCAAGTAGGGCATGCAATAAAGCCCAAAACTTGAGACTAGCCAAGGGGGTTCAAACCATGGCCACATGAGGCAAGCCCCATAGGGCTGAGGGGACCAAAATCAAAGCTTAAGCATGTCACAACATGGCTAAAAGCTTCATGAAGTTAAGCCAAAACATGCAAGCATGGTAGTCTAAATGCTAGATACATGTGAAGACAAATAATGAGATTACAAGACAAGTATATGATGCATACAAGAGACCACTAAACCAACTCAAAACAGAGGTATAAAATGACAAAATAACACTAAATACCTACTGAAATGGTGCTAAAACAAACTAAGCATACATGCTATCATACCAAGCCATTAACACAAGCATATGAGACACAAGGAGAAGGGGGTGTCCCTCTTTTTCTCGGGACCTTAAAACATTGTCCCCACCACTGAAATCCCTCTGGATTTCAGTAGTGAGAAGGCCAAAACAAGGTGGTCCCAAAGCTCACAAAAGAGGCACAAAAATAAGGCCAAACAAGGCCTAAGAGGGGGGAGACAACCCCAAACACAAAAGTGACCTTAAACAAAGATTAAAAGTATGCAAAAACAGAACTTTTATCAGTTATAAGTTAAGCTCAAAACAACATGCAAGATAGGCCAAAAGCTTATGCAAGAATGGAGAATAAAGAGGATAGTTTCTCACCTTGAAGAACCTCTTCAAGAACACCACTCCAACACCTCCTTCTGATCAAAACCAACTCAAAAACTCTAAAATCAACTCTTTAGCACCTCTGTAACTAAAGGATGGTGTATTACTAGGCGCTTTAGTGTAAAAATAAGAACAAATACACCCTTTAGAGCACTATAACACACAAATATAGAGAGAGAGAGAGAAATATAGAGAGAGTGTGATATATATCTTCTATCTCAGTTCCTTCAACCCTCGAGAAGGGAGGAATAGCTCCCTCTTTATAGAAATCCAAATGCAAAGCTTCTTGGAGAAGCTTGCACAAGGATGAAATCCCTCCATACACGTGTATGGAGGAGTCAGTCTCTGCTCTCCAGCTGGCAAGCACAAGCTCCACAGACACAAAGAGAAAGGGTCAGCTGGGAGAAATGGCCGATTTCCTAAAACAAAGTGCCGACCGGCCGAAGATAGTGTCGATCGGCCAAATATTTGGCTGATGGAAAGAAAACATAGCCGGTGGCATCATGCCTTAGCCAATGGATTTCAGGGATGGATAACAAGCCACTACCTACCATCAGAAGCAAAAAAAGAAACCACAAGCCCTTGGTCCACAACCAAGGACAAAACAGTCAAGTTGAGAGATCCTAAGGCAAAGCGCGCAGCCGAGTCATTCGGGAACTCAAAACGAACACGATCATGGATGATCATCTAGTGCTCCAATGATGACGTCCAAGTCTTGAGGACGGTCAAAAATGGGGTGTCTACAGCCAGCTGGAGTACACAGATTGCATCCTCCATACACGTGTATAGAGGGATTACATCTAGCTTCAAACTTCTTCAACAAGCGTGGTGCTTGGTTTTCTATAAGAGGGAACCTCCTCCCTCTTATCTGGGGTTGAAAAATTTGCTAAGAGCTATAGATATATCATTCTATTTCTATATTGTTTCTTCTCTCTATATTTGCATTGTTTTATGTCCTAAAGTGCCATTTTCTTCACACTTTTGCACATAAACACATAGTGAAACACCTTCATTCTTGAGTTGAGATTTTTTGGAGTTTGTTTGAAGCTCAAGGCTTGGTTTTTGCCTCAGGAGTTGCTGATTTGCTGTGTTTCTTCAAGGGTGAGGCTCAAATCCTTTTTTAAGCTTTGTTTTGCTTAAGTACTTAGCCTTATTTACATGCTTCTTATGGATTAACTTTCAACTGCAAAAAGCTTTATTTTTTAGTATTTAACATGTTTGTTTGAGGCTCCTTGGGTGTTGGGGGGTGTTCTACCCCCTTTTGTGCCTTGTTTGGGCTTGTTTTGAGCCATTACTTTAGGCCTTTGTAATTACCTTTGTTTGGCCTTCCCACCACTGACACTCAGAGGAATTTCAGTGGTGAAAACTTGATTTTGAGGCCCCAAATGGGAGGGGGTTGTCCCCCCTCATCTTCTCTTGTGTGTTGGTGTTGATGGCCTTCCTAAAAAGCATGTGTTTCTACTTCTTGGAGGCTTTGTTTAGGATCATTTTTGTGACTTTCCAGACCTGCCATAACTCTGTTTTGGTCTGTCTTGGTCACCTCTTGCATGCTTCTTATACTTGTAGTGTAAACCTACTTGTAACCTTGCAAAGTAGCATGTCTTTCTAGCATGTATTGGCTCCATTTTAGTAGGTTTTTGGCCATCATTTGACATGTCATAACTCTGTTTTTGGTTGGTTAGGGCATCCCTCATTTGCTTCTTACACTTGTAGTGCAAGTCCTCTTTACTAGTCTTGCATGCCTAATGAGTGAGCTTATTATTCTAGCATGTGTTGACTTGGTATTAGCCCATTTTTGGTGTTAGTTTGATGTGCCATAACTCTGATTTTTGTTAGTTAAGTCATCACACGCTTGGCTTTGGTAGGTGTAGTGTAAACCTCCTTATTGGCCTTACATACTCCATGTTTTGACCCTTCATGCTAGCTTGTTTTGGCTTTACTCTATGCATGTTTTGGCTTTACTCCATGCATGTTTTGTCATTGTTTTGGCATGCTCTAGGATTGTTTTGGGTTGTATTGGCCATATGCTTCATGCATTGCATAGCTATAGTGCAAATGCCTTAACTAGTCTTGAGTTTTGAGGCCTCTACCATGCTATACTTGTGATCTTTGCATGCCTTGGCATCATTTTAAATGATATTTCAAAGCTTATATCTTTGCCATACTCTCATGTTTATCACTCCTTCAATGTGTTTGAGAGTTGCACCTTTATGCCTTATTTGTGAGCCATTGCATGAGCCTCATTTTGTTGCCTTTCAAGCCGTCATCTCAGTCCATTTTGGCTACTGTTTTGGCCTGTATAAGGTCTGTTTAGGGCTGGTTTGGCCGTTTGAGCATTGTCTTGCATACCTCTAGTGTAATACACTTCACTAGCTTTGATGCTTAAGCCTTGCAACATGCATCACATGAGTTGTTTGCATGATTTGAAGTCATTTAGCATGACATTTCAGTGCTGGAACATATGCCATTGTACTCCATGTTTCATCCTTTCAACGCCTTTTGAGAGTTGTGTTCTTATGCCTAATTGTTGAGCCAATACACGTGCATGCATTTCTCTTGCTTCCATGCCTTTATTTTATCACCAATGGCCTCTATTTGGGCATGACTGAGGTCTGTCCATTTTAGTTTAAGTCCATTGAGCATGATTGATTGCATGTTGTTCGCATGCTATGTTGTCCATTGCATTGTATGCCTTGTCCTTTGCGTTGTGTATGCTTAGGTCACATTGCATTGAGTATGCCATTATTGCATTGTGCATGCTAATTGGTACTTGCATTGTGTATGCTAGTTGTTGCATGCTTGTCCCTTGCATTGTGTATGCCATGTAGTTGCATGTTTGCATGCTTAAGTTACATTGCATGTTTGCCATGTTACATGTGTTGCATTGTTGTTTGGAATAGGTGTTAGTCCAAACGCGGGAAACGAGGAACATTTCATACTTCAAATGATGAAACGTGCCTCAATTCTCGGTCGCTGACGCTCTTGATTCTACATGATAGAGTACTAGGCCTTATGTGTTTACTTGTGCATTCATTTTCATAATTGAATTGTGCAACTTCGCCTCTCAGCCATCATGTATTGAAATGCACGATTGGTGGCTCGAGGGTCGAGAACCACACTCCCTTGAGTTCATGACATGATAAGGAGGGTGGTTGTGCACATATATGTTGCAAATACTTTGCGATGCCCTTTCTTGCTCTCTGTTGCAGCAAAGTGGAGTCTGGCAGCAGCAACTGGTCAACCGACCAGTATTACTAGCTGGCCGACCACTTTTTCTGGTTTTTCAACACAGAAAGTTGTCGGCAGGTGGTCTCCAATGCCAACAACTGGTCGACAGCATCTGTCACGCCCCAAACTCGCCCCTAAAAGTTTGGGCATGATCTATTCAGAAACGAATATTTAACTTGATATACATAACGTACGAGCCCTTAACAGAAGCATTAAATATCATAAAATAATAGGAACAAACTCCATTGAGCTACTACTACTATGCCATGATCATAAACATCATAATAGGCAAATAAAATCCAAAACATACACCTTAGCATCAATTATATACATATATATATATATACAGGGCTATAAGTCCAGCCCTATGATTGGGCGTATAACAACAAAAAAAAATATATATATATATATATATTGTGAAAGAAAGTGTTACACATTTCAATCTTAGGCCAATAATTAGAGTGTACTGCCAAAAGTTTGCCAAAACTTCACAAAAATATGAGTGGCTTTATCTAAGGCCTGCACATACAAAGGTTGACAAAAGACAAAAGTGGACGAGCGTGGCTTAGGACTGACCACTTGGTTGTTGGTTGGTTACCTACAGAAACGTTCAGATTCGGGGAGGCGAAAACAAAAATGTCGAGTAACAGGTTTCTGTTCATCAATGGAGTCGTCTCACCATCCTCCGACACTCCATCCGTATCCACCTTCCTCGAATCCCACCAAGGTACTCTTCGAAACTATTCTACTTTCAATTTTCTGTGGAAACACACACAAGATTCAATTTCGAAACAATTTCAGGCGCTTACACCACCACTCGCACTCACAACAATGCTTCACTCATCTTGTTCTGGGAAAGGCATCTCCGAAGACTCTCCAATTCCGCTACAATTCTATTCGATTCCAACCCCAAGCTTTTGTTCAAACCCGGAAATTCTATGGACTCGTTTTCATCGCCATTCACGCGATCTTCAAGATGGGAATCGGTGATTCAGTCTCTCGTCAACGATTCGATGCGAAAAGTATTGCCAGTGGCATTGAAAGAGAGGAAAAGTGGTGAGGAATTGTCAATTACATCTCTTGTGAGTGGCAATTGGGAGAAAGTGAGCGAAATTGAGGATGGAGATGAAGAAGAAGAAATGATTTCTAGGGGTTTTGATGTGTATGTACATGTGGGGATGTATGTGCCTCGTCTGTTTGGCATTCGAGAAAATGGTGCCCATTTGGCCGTGGTGGGTCGTGGTAGGGATGTTGCTAATGCAAAGTATACAGATTGGGTTAGGTAATTATTTGCTTGTTGGGGCTGTGTGTGTATACTTGTGTTACTGACTTGTTGTTATGGTGATTTTTGCAACATGTCCTGTAATTGGGTAAATTATATTGACCTCCTTCAAATTGTTGGCTAATACATTAGTATATCACCAAGGTTGTGGAAATTACATCCCTCCCCAAGGTTTATAGTCGCATTACTTATTGCTCCCACCCATTAAGTGACATCAAGGACTGGAAATGTCAAGAACAAGAACAAATATCTTGGTTGTTATAGAGAAACAGGCTTTTTTATTTTTATTTTTTACTCCTAAAACCCAGAAAATGCTCCCAAATAGAAATGGGTTTGCCATGAAGAGCGCTTTGGATATACTTGGATGCATTCCTTTATCTATTGTTTTTTGTATTTCTAGAGAGAGAAGCATAGCTTCAGAGAAAGAAAAAGGGAGCAGGGTTTTTAATTCGAAATTTGAGGTTTGGTGGTGATCAATGTCCTTATAAACAATTTTTTGATGAGAGGTTGTTGATGAATTTATGGGTAAGGGTTTGCTGGAGTTGGTTATTAGCACAACAGGACCAATTGTGGTGGTTTTAACAATGCGACAGAAAATGAACAGATATGACTCCAAAAGTCAGCTTTGGGGAAACAGTGGCCATGGATAAAGGGGTAGAGAGTGAAAGCTTTGAGTTGAAAAGGTGAGAGTAAGGGTGTGAAGAAAAGGGGAAGAGAGGGCTTGATTATATGGTGGAAGTGGTGGTGGATGACGGTGCAAGTAGCTATGTGGGTTGGCAAAGAGAGATGGAGAGGAGGATTGTGGTGGCAATGGATTGTGGTTTTGTGGGTCAATTAGGAAAGAAAGAGGGAACATGAGAGAGGGTGAAGGATGAAGGGGAAGAGCCAATACTGCTGTGGGAGTGGGAAGTGCGAAAGGGAGAGGGAGACAGTTGTGGTGGAGATAGGTGAGAAGAGCTACGATGAGAGAGAGAGAGAGAGAGAGCATAGACACTTCAAAATGGGTGTCGTGTCCAAGTGTCGGATGCACCATATGGCATGTCAATTTTTTAATTATAATTTTTTTGCAAGACACTTTGGGGATGCTTCACGGGCTTGTGTCTTGTGTTTGGACACCTGAAGACACCTTTGTGTGTGTGCGTGTGTGTGTTTTGTTTTTTAGAAAGCTGATTTGGAGTCGAACTATAATATATGACGAGGGAGGGAAAGTGAAGAAAAAACATACATAACCACGTATGTGCCCTAAATTAATATTTATTTATTTTTGGGCAGTATCTCTGCCTTGTGCATATCTTGAATTTTTCAAAATTGATTGTCCCGTATCTGTGTCCAAGCTTATTAGGCTGCGATTGGTGTGGGGGTGGATGGGAGAGAGAAAATGAAGCAAGTGAGGGTAGTAAGGTTATTTCACCTCTTCCATTGCCACCATTAACTGAAAAGCACTGATAGGGGAAGTTAGTGTAATATCTAAAACCTCAAGGAGTAATATGTATTAGTCAGGTGGTCAATGTAATTTACCCTTTCCAATTTGTTTTTTTGGGTAGGCTTAGGAAGTCTCTCGAGAAGTTGAGGCCACCTTCAGCTACTGAGCTCTTATTGTCAAATAATGGGGATCAGATTCTAGAAGGTTGTGTGACAAATGTTTTTGTTGTCTGCCGCAAGGTGAGATGTTTATAATTATAATGTTTGACTTCATTGGTTGCTTTTAGGAGTATTCATTTTTTCACTTCTGAATGAGATTTTGTCATTAAACTTGTCAAAATATTGCAAGACCTATGTAGGATCCTGTTAACAAAATTTTGTCAAAGCCGCAATCAATAGAAGATTTGGCTAAAAACTTTGCCAACAACACATATACGTTCCAACAAGTGGTTCAAAAGAAACAAATGATGGAAGTGAAATAAGAAACTAAAGACTAATAAAAGATAATTTCATTAATCTTCAAAGAGAACAAAAATTCTGGCAATGAACATAATTTTGTTTTTGGTTACAAACTAGTGTTATTCTACTCCTAAAGATTATAAACTGCTCCTAAGATTTAATTCTTGTAGGAGTGACGAAAATATTGAAGTCCATACAAATGAATGCAAATTACATATTTATAGATAAAAATCCTACAATAATTACCAATGACCACCTCAAAAACTACCACCTTCCTACAATGACATGTGGTCTACTAACAACTTCCTCTTGATCTCCTCTTGAAGTGCCATTTGTCCTGCAAGTAACTTCCGCTAACCACCAATTAATTCTCTCTTGAAATGATGTGTCTTTATCGCAAGCCTTCTAGAAACAATTATGCACCATCATCCCTCCAAATATACTGCAACATTGCAAATTCGACAGAGTATTTTGACAGAAGAATGCATCATCGCAGAGATATTAAATTTTGGTTCAAACAGATCCCCACGGCTGAATGATGAATGCATTATTTATCATGTCGTAAAATCGAATATTGTGACATAAAATTTGCTCAATCTGGAAGATTTTAGTATATAGTTAACCAAAAAATGCATGTACTAAAGAATAAGAATAATTCCAACAAACGAGATATTTCAGGTCAAGTTAGTGCATTTACTTCTTACCTTGTAGGATTGATGATGAATCATCTTTATGTGAAATGCAATGAACACCGTTCTTTTCCTCTCCCTTGTGAGGATTCACATCATTTGTTAACATGCCTATGGGTGGAAAGGAAAATAGAAGTCAAGAGCCCTTTCAAGCTATGCCTTTTGTTAAGTTTTTATATTTTGTAATATGGCTATAACTTGCTTTATTCACATGCAAAATCAGCATAACTTATTCTGAAAATTTTGTCAATGACTCAATATAACATTGATTTACAAAACCAGAGTTTTCTTTATATCTCTAATCACATTCAATGACTTGTGAAGCTTGCACCTTTTTTTTTTCCTTCTTGGGTTAAGTCTGAAGAAGCTTATACTGTTAGCGCTGGATAATTCAGATTGTCTCTATATTTTGATAGTTATGATCAACTTACACCTGGTTCTAGTCAAAATTGGAGAACACCTTGAAATTAAAAGCAAGCCGTTCAGTTTGAAAAATTATTCTCTTCCATAAAGCTTTTGAAGATTCTTCCAGTACACTAGTCATATTTGACCATTTTTAATTATCGAAGTTGAACCTTTGGTACAATTAATGTTATTAACTTCTTTATACGGTCAAAAAATTCTACCTTTGCCATTTTTCTTAAAAAGATTATATTATTATTGGACCAAGTGAGGAACTAAATCTTGCTACCTATCAAACTCTCACTGAAGATATATATATATATAATGAAATGATGTGAGGAAAGATACACTAACATTCCAAATATCGATGATAAAAGGATTGGATTGAAACTGGGGCCCTATCGACCCGTCCCAACCTCACACTTGTAAAGAAAAAGCTCATCTCAGACAAATCTGATAGCCATGATGGGTACCATTTTTCTTCCTATCCTGAACTTAAAAACAGTTCTCCAAAACCCTCTCATCAAATAATTGTATTCAAAAGTTTTTATCCACCAAGTTCTGCATCGATCCAATGAAAATTTCGAAAAATTAGATACTAGTTACCTAAAATATGGCTAGAAGCATTTGAACAAAATAAAAATGAATTAGGAGATAAAAAGAGAATATAACAAGAGGAGCAAGAGGAGGAAAGTCATTCACAATGGCCTTTGGCAAAAGAAAGCTAGTGTTGCTGCTGTGGAATTGAGAAATTATTTATAAAGGAAAAACCCTAACACATTGATTAAATGGTATTGCAAGCATGTCTTCCACATAGACCTACTACATATATTCTAGTTAAAAAGCACATGGCCTGCATGTGGACCAACCACCTACTGCTCATATCAGAAGACGGACAAAGCATGGCCTATGGGCTGGAGGTTGTGAGATCACTGGGCTACAATAAAAAAGAGATGGTAACTAGGCTAGGTAAGTTTATAAACTTTGTATATAGGGATTGGGGCCTTGGGAATTTACTTCTCTTGGGCTTCACTCTAAAAGCCCTTCTATAAAGGTGTTTAAGAGTTGAGGGTGGGCACACGTAGAAGTTGCATATAGGGTTCCAGAGGCTTAGGCAAAGGTGTGGTGTGGGACAGTTGAGGTAGGAGGACAAGGGAAGACATTGAGGGGAATGTGATAGGGAGGCAGGGAAACAATGCTCCTACAATGATGTTTGGATGCTTGCAAAGGGTGGACCTTTGACAATAGCTAAGGCAAAGGAAGTCAAGGATCGTCACAATTAGATTGTTGCTGCGGACAAGTTAGACGAATTGGTTTTATACATACCCTCAGGTAGTAATCGGGATCTATTGGTCGGGAAAGAAAAGAAAGGAGCCCAACATCAACAAGTGATATCCAATGACTAATAATACGGAGGAAGATGAGGAAAGATATTTAGAGCGGGTCACTGAGATAAGGACTTCTTTCGGAGGAAGACAATGAGATGATTCTAGTGGAGTGCTCTCTTCTAGGTTGAATTGCGGGGTGGGGGGCAAGGTTTTGTAATGTGTTTCAAATCAAGAAGAGGGAGACTAAGAAGCATGGACATGGACACAATACCGACATGCCCGACATTGAAATTTTCAAAAAAAATGTATGACACGACACATGAGGGACATGTGCAAAATATATAATTTATATATTTATTATATGTTATATGTTATATGTAAAGATAAATAATTATTTTATGTTATATATATGAATATATAAGTCAAATATAATATAATATTTGAAGTCTAAAGGAGGAAAATAGATATATTTACATTATTTTTGTTTTATTGTTGGATTTGAAGTCATTTTATTCAAACTTGTAATGTGATCTTAGTGTTGGGAAGTGTCCGACGAGTGTCGTGTTGATATTCAATATAGTGTTGGGCACGACGCATTACCTTCTTAAATTGTTTGTGCTTCCTAGGAGGGAGATAGAGTGGATGAAGGATTTTAACAAAAAAAATGTTTTTTGGGGATATAGAAAAGAGATGGAGATCCAGCATAGGAAGTAGGTGAAGAGGACTGAGTTTAGCTCAAGCTTGAGAACAAGAAGAAATATTAGAAATCTGGGAAACTTTGTAGTAATAAAATAGGAGGGAAGGAGGTTGTTTGGAAGTATGGCTGAGGGGAACCATTGTGCCTAATTTGTCTTTATGGCTTTCTTCCATGGGATGGCTATTGCACATAATAGAGGTAATCATATTTGTAGGATTCTTATTGATGGTGTGGAACAGTAAGAAAAGGTCGTTCTCTAGCATCATTGTGGAGTCTATAAGAGGTTGGGCAATAAAGATATGGTATTGGAAATAGTCATGCTTCTTAGTTTGGTATAGTTTGGGTGATACTTAGGATGGTCAAAGGCCTTTGGGCTTGTTCGTATAGAGGATGCCCAAGGAATGTTAATAAGAAGGCTTGGGATATGGTGTGGTTAGCACTTTTTTATAATACATTTGCTTATCAAAAAAAGTGAAAGGTTTGGCACATTTTTACTGCATAAATTATTCTTCATTTTTGAATTCTTTACATTAGCCAACATCAAAACTGTAAAATGGTTGAAGCCTAACATACCAAAAATGTTAAACTTTTTTTGTGTATGAATTATCTAAAATGTAGACTGTTAATCGAACTGCCGTCCAGTAGGTTAGCTATGTGTTATGTTATATAAAATGATCAACTGGTGCCCTTATCTTTAAAGCATACAAATAGGGACAGAGAGGTAATCCAATTTTCTTCCCATTCTGCATGTGCAATGAGCAAGCGGCCGTATTTCCTTTCCCATCATCATCTCATCGACCTCTTCCTTTCTCTTCCTTTTCCATTTCTTTTTACCTTACCATCTGTATGCTGTTAAAGGTGGCTTTTTATTTATTTTCTTGCTTTATCCTTGTGGCCAATTTAAAAGAGTGTATCAAGGCCTGTTATTATTGTTTGACCTTAAGGTTATTTTTGGAATTCAAGTGCTCCGGGCTTGAAGACTCCAGGTGAGTGTTGGGAGCTTCTATTTACACACACCCATTCCCCTCTTTACACATCTTTTTCAATAAATAATTGGTTCGGAAGTAGATTTCCGAAAATAAGCAATTGGTTCGGAAGTAGCTTTCCGAAAATAAACAATTGGTTCGGAAGTAGACTTCCGAATTTTTATTATTTTTTCGACAATCAACTTCCGAATGGATTTATTTGATGTCTATAATAGTAATTTCACCTGAAAAAAAAATTTATAATAAAAATAATTTTTATGAAGTGTGTGCAAAGAGGGGAAGGTGGATGTGTAAATAGAAGCTCCCGTGAGTGTTCCCTTTATAGAATAGTATAGGAAAGTCCATCTAAGGAATACAAAAGCTTAAGAGAAGTCTTTTGCCTTTTTTATTTTTTATTTTTTATTTATATTTATAAATTTTGGTGCAAAAGAAATTTTTGTGAATCCTCACTCCTTGTAGACTTTATAGCTGAGCTCATTTTCTGTTGAGCTTTTAAAACTTTGTACATGGCTACGCCTTTTGAGGTTTTTTTGTTCTAGTAATACAGTTCAAAACAATCTTTATTTATCAAAAACATATGATATATATACATATTTTAATGGAAAGTAAGTGCCGTTGTTTCTTACCATTTTACTCAACATATTTGATGAACCATTAGAGATGCAAGATGTGTGCAAAGAGGGGAAGGTGGATGTGTAAATAGAAGCTCCCGTGAGTGTTCCCTTTATAGAATAGTATAGGAAAGTCCATCTAAGGAATACAAAAGCTTAAGAGAAGTCTTTTGCCTTTTTTATTTTTTATTTTTTATTTATATTTATAAATTTTGGTGCAAAAGAAATTTTTGTGAATCCTCACTCCTTGTAGACTTTATAGCTGAGCTCTCTGTTGAGCTTTTAAAACTTTTGTACATGGCTACGCCTTTGGAGGTTTTTTTGTTCTAGTAATACAGTTCAAAACAATCTTTATTTATCAAAAACATATGATATATATACATATTTTAATGGAAAGTAAGTGCCGTTGTTTCTTACCATTTTACTCAACATATTTGATGAACCATTAGAGATGCAAGAAAGAGAAAAATTAAAGAAAAGAGAAATTTGGAGAGTCATTTGATTTAAAGGTGGAAGTCATTAGAAGCTCTATTAGCTTTAAACTTCATCACGGGCATGAAGGTTTCTTCTTTGATTTTAAAAGTTACGGCTATGGGGATTATTTTTAGAAGTATGGTTTCCTAGTTCTAGAAGATGCATACTTTTGAGTCTGAGGTAATTTCCTTAGTCATCCCTTGATTGGCACTTGCTTGCTTGTTATCTACTTGGTTAGCATAAGTAGTCACCTAGTTATTCATGAGTAAGTTCTTTAGCTAGTTAGCTTTGTAACCTCATCAAGAGAATCTCTTTGGTAACCTTTTCAGAGAACTAAAACAAATTTATAGCCTATTGGTTGCGGTAAGAAAACTTGACTGAGAAGAGTGATTCTTCTTACTCTAGAGAGATGAAATTCCTCAGATCCTCTTTCTCTCTTGCTTTATAGATTTTACCACATTTTCTTGTATCTTTTTCCTGTCAATATACTATTTGGTTTCTAATTGAGAGGTCAGTAAGCGGTCACTTTCCTCAAGTTTGAAGGTTTGTGCTGCATCAATCTCAATGGATTCTAGCAAAAGAACTAAGCTAAGAACTTGGAGACTGAGACGTGATTTGAGCAGAGGTGGTGTTGTTTCTCCTCATAATTGCGATTGAAATGCAAGGACTTTTTAAGACAAATTTGGGAACTTGGATTCTATGTGGGATCCACTGTTTTCGATATCTAGAGATTGGATGGCTGTTTGCGACACGTAGTTTCTTGTCTTTGCTTAGTTTTGTTTGATTTTAATCTCAATCCTTTGTGTTTGATCTTTGAGGACTCCTTGTCCTTTTTTTGTTACATTTATTTTTCTTCAATAAAATTCCATATGCTGCTGATCAAAGAATTTTTTTTTATTTTAATCCATCAAGACGCATGGTGTACCTCTTGGACCATTCGTCTGTGGGCTGCTTCAAAGTTTGTTGAATAGGAGCAGAGTTGAGGATGGAAAGGGAGAGGGGAGACTTTCTCGTTGAACGAAAAGAATGGAGAAGAAAATGAAGTACTCTAATGTATGAATTTAAACAGAACAAGGGGACTATTTTAGTCTTTTTCATGTATCAGTAAACCGTTAACCAACCTGAAGTGGTTAATAGTACGCCCTTTTAAATAATACTTGCAACTTTGACTCTCTCTCTCTCTCGTTTCTTTTTGGATGGGTTACCTGTGTCTGAAGCTTTTCAACCCAAATGAAGACAAGATACAATTTCAAATCTTTTGTATTAGTGTACAACTACCAAAAAATTGTACTAGCTTTGCTAGCTAACCATAATAATATTTTTTATGTTTTATGATCTAATACTTGCACTTCTAAATTTATTGAACTAATGATAACAACTTTTTCAATAAATACTGATACATACATTTTAAATATAATAATTTTCTTGTCATAGACATTTGACTAACCAAATGGCCTTTGATAGAGTCGAGTAGATAAAAATGATTCTTGTAGTCAACCCTATTTGATGGGACTTAAGGCTTGATTTGGTTGGTTAATTTTCTTGTCAAAGACAATTCCCAAATATTGAAGATGACATATGACTTTCAAAGAGAGGGAGGGGAAAAGTCACAGTGATTATGATTTAGACACACACACACATATGTTAAAGTTAAAACAATTATATTATAGTATTGTTATTTTAATTCAATTTTGATAACAATTATTACTTTCAAATACTTCTTGTCTCTATGTTATCTATGCAGCTATTTTGGCTCTAAAAATGTTTTACAGCAATGACACTTTAACAAGTGACCCACCTACTTTCAAAGATTATCCAATCAAGTTCAATTGACAAGGTGGCTTGGCCTTTTAGGTGATGTCATTTTCGAAGTTGCAGAGTCTTTAAATAAGACAGCTTATGGAACCCTTCTAATTGTTTGAATTTCTTGTGTTGTGTTCATGTGTGTGTAGTTTACATTTCTTCTACTAGCGATTGTATAGTTGTTGAATGCGCCTATGAAATCTGTGCACAGGAGCACAATGATAATAGTGATGATGCTAGGAGAAGAGGCATGCATGATTATAGTACATATCCTTTCGAAATACAAACAGCTCCCATCAGGGATGGTGTCCTTCCAGGGGTCATACGCCAAGTAATCATTGAGTAAGTCCTTTCCACTCTTTGGAACCCAAAGGAATTTTTTTTTTTTTTTTTTAAATGTTTAAATCTATTATTTTTATTTTTATTTTTAATTTCTCTTTGGGGCTATATTGTAGTATTAGATAGCAACAAAGTTTGTTATTTTTTTATTCACATTTAAGTCAACAAACATGCATGTTTATCTTCCTTTCTTCTTTAGCATGGAAAGGTTCTATAACATTGACAAAAGCCCATAGATCTTGTAGAGATGTTCCTTGAGGAGCTGCATCCACCATTCAACATTTAGAAGGGTGGAGCATCTAGAAGTCATCAATGTGGCTTGGATCTTCTTCTAAAGTTTAAATTGGATGTGGAGATCTCTATTACTCCATTACTCATGTGTACTAGTCAAAAAATAAAAATAAAAATTCATTAGTCATGTGGTGACTTTGCAATTACTTGTATGGCTGTAGAAGTGAGGATATTTTCTTATACTCTTTACCTTTTGGAATTTGGGAGCTTGAAACTGTCGCCTCTCCAAGTCCTGAGAATCGCATAGATTTTTACGTCCATTTTTTTAAAATTTTTTTTCAAAAGATTATAATTCAATTTGGGGTGCAAGGTGGGCTTCCTTCCTATGCCTTGTTTAGGTCATTTAGTCAGCTGGGATTTCAAAGTTAGTAATTTGGGACAAAGTGGCAGAGAGATTTGGGAGGAGACTCACAAGTTGGAGAAGCAGAATTTGTTGAAGGGAGGAAGATATTCCTTCACCACTCATCGGGCTATTTAATGCTCTGCAGTGAACCAAATATAGTACTCAAATCAACCCTCGGAATGCCTATGGTTTGATGCTCAATGCAGCCTATTTGAAATAAAATTTACACTCAACCAACTGCAAAACAAAATTAGATTAAATGTGGAAAGCCTTTACCTTGCCAATTGCAACATTTGACTTTGACCTATTGTGGGATCTCTGGAGGGTATTTGGGCGCTCGACAATTCACCCCCATCTTGTTCACAAAATGTAGTGTGAATCGTGTGAGGGTCTATGTCCAACAAATACATGGAAAATCCACTTATACAATGTAATGCCAAAGAAAGATCGTATCACTAGACTTGTAGTCTCTATCTAATCTTTTTTGAGGAAATTAGAAAACCCTAACTCCTACCAATATAGGCCATTGTCCGTTGCAGCCAGAAAGCTTGGTCCGGGAGTTTAGGAGAGGGAAAGGTCATCAATTGAGCATTCTCTGCTCACCCGATCAAAGATCGGTTTCTATTAATTCTTGATATGAGACTCTTTGCCAAAATATGTTAATGTTTAGATTATTAATTCTAACTTTACTGTGTGAAGCAAACAAATATAGAGCAAATCACCTATTTTAAAAAGTTTTTATCCTCTTTCTGATGAAAAGTGTTTTGGCAAGAGTTTCTCAAAGAAAAAGGAAGAAAGCTCTCGAGGGAAGGATAGGAGTGTTTCCAACTTTGGCAAGATGCCCTCCAATATTAATAAGCAAACATAGATATATCTCAAGTAAGCAAATAGCTTTATGGTAGCATGTTAAACATAGTAAGGAAAGCAAAGACAAGCAAGATGCAAAGACGAGGACCTACACCAACCAAGTTAAATGCAAAAAAGGGTTAGAAAACGAGCATGATCCTAGATGCAAGATTCTACTGAATGTAAGAAAAACTCATAAAATGTATCCTGTAGGCCCGGTTGCCACTAATCATCAACATAACAAGATAGCGACAATATCTATAAAATGCGATTACCTGGGCCTAGATGCAAGAATTATACTAGAAGCATGATAAACGTGCAAAGTGTACCAAACAATAGTGGAATGAAAATAGATGATGACCTAGATCTACCCCCAAAAATATGAAAATGAATGTAAAAATAAAAAATGAAGGAGAGGTAGAGATAGATAATGATCCCTATTTCCAACTACATAGAAAGGGGAGTGAGTCTCGCCTAAAGGCAAGGCAAAGGCCTCAATCCATGAAATAATTCATGAGGAGTAGATTCAATCATTACCATAGAGCTAAGCTAAGAGCATGAAGTAAATACTAGAAAAGAAGGTAAACAACACAAAAAAAAGGAAGATAATGGCTACAATCTACCTCCTAATCATGGAAATGGGCATAAACCTTGTTCAAAGACAAGACAAAGGCTCAAATCCATGGAAATAGGCTTGTGAGGGTAGACTCAACCATTCTCAAAGAGAAAACCCATGTTTGGCTAATGAGAAAGTGCAAAAAAATGAAAAAGAAAGCAAAAGGCTACAATAATTTAGAGATCTGACTAGGATCTCAACTACCCAAGCCCAATATTCAATCGCTACTCAATAGAACTACACGAGTATAATAAAACAAAGGTGTTTAGATAGAGAGAAAACAAAGGAAAATAAAAGAAATGGAAGTGTGATTATACCTCCTCCTAAGCCTCAAGCTAGATGATGAGAGCAAAGCAACTCCAAAATCCCCTCTCAAGCTTCAAGTGAAGCTCAAAAACCTTCAAGCTTGGTCTTAGTTAAAAATGAAACACAAGAATTGAGAGAGTGAAGAGAGAGCCAAAGATTTATTGGGAGAGAAGGCACAAAACCAAATTAGGTTTTTTACCTCTCTAAACACATGTATTTATAATAATAAAGGAATGTGTACAATGACACTATTACTCTCAAGCACATAACTTGACACTTCCTCTCAAGTTGGTGTATAGATATCTCTCAACTGATGTTTAGAAGATGTAACAAAAGACAAACAAATGATGCCACTATTCAATTTCTCCTTGATAAAATGTCGATCAATCTTGATGTGCTTAGTCCTATCATGTTGAATCGGATTATGATCAATGTTAATACTGGCCTTATTATTATAGTATAGTCACATGGGACCTCCTCTCAACAATCCTAGGTCAGTCAATAAAACTTTTAGCCACATCAACTCACAAATGCCATGTGCCATGGCTCGATACTCCGCTTCTGCATTTGATCTCGTAACAACTGATTGCTTCTCACTCCTCCAAGTCATCAAATTTCCTCCTACAAATGTACAATGACATGCGGTAGATCTCTTATCATCAATAGCACCAACGCAATCTGCATTAGTGAAGGCCTCTAACCTTAAATGACATTGATTGGAGAACAAGATGCCTTTTCCAGGTTTTGATTTGAGATACCTTAAGATTTGATGAACTGCATCCAAATGCCCCGTCCGAGGATCATGCATGTATTGGCTAACAACACCAACAACATATGCAATATCTGGCTTGGTATGAGAAAGGTATATCAGTCGTCCACAAGCCTTTGATACCTTCCCTTGTCTACGTGTTCTCTGTCACTACTATTGAGCCTGTGATTAGCCTCAATAGGAGAGTTAGCAGGCCTACATCCCAACATGTCTACCTCCTCAAGCAAGTCCAATATGTACTTTCTTTGAGAAATAAAGATGCCCTTATCTGATCTAGCAATCTCAATTCCAAGAAAGTACCATAAGGGTTCGAGATCTTTAATTTCAAACTCCCTAAAAAGTTAAGCTTTGACTTTGGACATTTCTTCTTCATCATTGCCTGTCACCTCAATGTCATCCACATAAACATTAAGTACTGCGATCTTATCCCCACACTGTTTGATGAACAAAGTATAATATGCATGGCTTTGCTTATACCCAAATATAAGCATCACCTTAAGGAATCTGTCGAACCAAGCTCTGGGAGATTGTTTCAACCCATACAAAGCTTTCTTTAACCTGCAAACCTGCCCCTCAGTGGCTGGAGAAGAAAAACCTTGAGGAATATCCATATACACTTCTTCTTCTAGATCCCATTGAAGAAATGCATTCTTCACATCCAACTATTGAAACAGCCATCCCAGAGTTGCTGCACAGGAAAGAAGAACACGGATGGAATTCATCTTGGCCACTGGTGCAAAGGTCTCTTGGTAGTCAATGCCATAAATCTGAATGAACCATTTGGCAACTAGCCTCGCCTTGGTAAAGAAACTAACTCATAAGTGCCATTCTTACTTAGTGCTCTCATTTCCTTTGCCATAGCGTATTTCCACTTAGAATCATTAAGAGCTTCCTTTTAACCCTATGGAATAGAAATAGAAGATAAAGACGAAACAAAAGCACAGTACGATGGAGATAATGAGTCATATGACACAAAATGTGATATAGGATGTTGGGTACGAGATCTAACTCCTTTCCTAATAGCAATAGGAAGATTTGAGTCATTAACTTCATAAATATCACTAGCAGCGATAAGAGAATTAATAGCTAATGACTCTTTACCTGAAACTGGAGATGAAGATGATTGGCATGGCAGCATATCAGGCACGGGTTCTTTCTGTCGCTGAGAGTAAGTTTTGAGATCTGATCTATCCAACTGAGGAATTACCTCCCCCTCATTACATGGCTTACCCTCCCTCTCACAACCACTAGAAGGAGAAACCATAGAATTCGGAAAACCATTCTCTTCTTCTAGAATAGAAACCTTCCTATGAAGAGATGATCCCTGGAAGATGGCTCAGACTCACAGAACATAACGTCCATAGAAACATACAGCTTGCGAGTGTGAGGGTCATAGCACCTATAACCTATTTGAGTAGAGGAATAACCAAGAAAAATACACCTCAAGGCCTTGGGATCAAATTTGTTGTGAATGGAACAAGGGGAATGGACAAAGCAGACACAACTGAAGACCTTAGGTGGAAGGGAAACAGGGTGAACAAATGTCCGAAGAAGAAGGTCAAGAGGGTGTTGAAAGAGGACACTTGAAGGCATGCAGTTAATAAGATATGTAGCAGTAAGGACTGCATCACCCCAATATGGTTTAGGTACATGCATTGTGAACATTAGAGCATGAGCAACCTCAGTAAGATGACAGTTCTTCTGCTTGGCAACACTATTTTGTTCAGGGGTACCAACACAACTGGTTTGATAAAGAATGCCATGGGCTTCAATATAGGCTCGAAATGCACCATCAATATATTCAGTGCCATTGTCACTGTGGAGGACTTTAGTAGGGGTAGCAAATTGAGTAAGTACCATATTATGAAATATTTAAAAACATGAAAAAAATTCATTTTTGGCCCGAAGCAAGTAAACCTAAGTCACACGAGAATAGTAATCAATAAAAGTGACAAACCACCGATAACTAGATACAGGTATAACACGAGATGGACCCTAAACATTAGAATAAATAACCATAAAAGGAAAGACTTCTTTTATTAATGGGAGGATAACAAGAACGTTTATGTTTAGCAAACTCACAAGCATCACAATAAAAATTATTCGTATGACAAACCTTTACTAAAGTAGGAAAAAGTTTTTCTAAAACAGAAATAGAGGGGTGTTCTATACGCCGATGCCACTGATGTAACAGAGGAAAGGCCGAAGTGGCAGTTGTTTGAAGAGCTTGGTGAGAAGATCTAATGGAAGAAAGTCCATCATCCAGAAAGTGCAGGCCCCCATGTGCTTTACCACTGCCAATCGTTCTCCCTGTACTCAGTTCCTAAAAAACACAATGAGAAGAATAAAAGGTTATAGAACAATTTAGCGAATTGGTAAGACGACTAATAGAGGGTAAATTAGTAGAGAACTGGGGAACATGAAGAATAGAAGAAACAAAAATAGAGGAAGAGCAATGAATAAAGCTTGTCCCAGATACAGAAGATCCATCAACAACTTTTACTTTATTCTTGCCAGAAAATATGAGACAAACTTGTCATGTGGTCAGTAGAGCCGGAGTCAATGATCCAAGGATATGAAGAAGAAGAAGCACTCAAGGCACTCGTAGGAATACCTATAGAAGCAAAGTTGGAAGCAGAGGAAGAATCAAGCCGAGCCACCAGATGCCGAATGGTGTGCAACTCATCATGGGAAAGTGTAGCAAAATCACCTGGTGCTGGCAGAAGACTCAGAGAGATTGGTAAGGGAATGAATAGCGCCACATCTACTAGTACCACTATGGGCTCCACTCCAAGCTTGAGGAGGAGGACCATGTAACTTCCGACAATGTTCCCTATCATGTTGATCTTTCCCACAATAATCGCAGGTAATCTGACCACGATCAACACTAGTACTTTTGTTCGCAGACTTGGAAACATGCCCATCATTTGGAGCAGAAAAAACAGTGAGGGCAGAGCGATCTTGGAGAGGCTGATGAACCATAGCACTACACCTGCTCTTTTCCTGCTAAACGTAAGCATATGTCTCACGCACAGTGGGAAAAGGATCCCAGCCAAGAATCTAAACACGAATCTGATCATACTCAATGTTAAAACCAACAAGAAAATCATAGACCCTCTCTTTGGACACTATCAACCGAAAGGTAGTAGCATCTTGAGAACAAACAATGTGGAAGTTTTGATAATAGTTGAGCTCTTGCCACAAACTACTCAACTTGGCATAGTACTCAGCAAGGGACCTATCCTTCTGATCAAACCCCTGTATTTTCTTCCGCAACTCATAAGCCTGGGCATCATTACCACGCTGAGAATACATCCGAGCAACAACAATCCAAATCTCATGAGCGGTATCCATCATAACAAAGGAGCGGCTAATACTAGAGTGGATAGAGTTGATAAGCAAAGGCATGACAAGGGCATTCTCTTTTTGCCATTTATCTCGAGCTGGTTCATCGTCCTTGGGAGCCTTAGGGCTTGTTTGGTTTGTATCTTAAGATACAATTTTTGAGAAAAATTTTCAAAATTTTGTTTGGTTCAAATTTTTTGAATTTTTTTTCCAAAATCACTCTCTCCTACACATCAATCAATCACTTTTTCTCTCTCCTTCTCAATCACTTTTTCTCTCACACATATCTACTCAACTACAACAAAATATCAAATCATCCCAAACTCCAAAACTCCTAAACTATTTTCAAAATATACAACCAAACAAACCAAAAAAATTTCTAAACTCTCTCTCCAAATTTTTTTTCGAAAAGTAATCTCAAAACACAAACCAAACACACCCTTAGTAACTCCCTTGTAACCAGTCATGCCAGGAGCAGTAATAGCCAATTGAAAGGAACGCAACTAAACCAGATAATTGGTACCATCCAACTTGACTGAAGCAAGCTAAAGAGAGAAATTATCACTAAGAGAGACATTGTAACCAGATTCTTTCACTTCACTGACTATAGGTGTCTTACTATCATCTGCCATGGCCTAGAATAGTGCTAGCACACCCAATAAACAAGACAACCTCGGAAAACTATCAAAATAAAACTGAAACAACCCAATAGCATTAAAAAGGGCCAGAACGACCCAATGGCTGAGGAAAGGAGCAATACGCAGACTATAGAACAAGCAGATAGTTCTGGGAAGCTAGAAAATAATCAAAAAAATCCAAAACCAGCAACTGAGGCCAAGGATCAGCCGAGAGACTCTGGTCGGCTTCCATAGGTATGGACCCAGGTGATTAATCAACCAAAAAACTAACAGAATGAAGAAATCTAAAAAATAGGACCAATTTTGCCAAAAAAAATAAAGAGAAATGAAAAAATAGGCAATCAAAAATCAAAAAAAAAAGGGCCAGAACGACCCAATGGCTGAGGAAAGGAGCAATACGCAGACTATAGAACAAGCAGATAGTTCTGGGAAGCTAGAAAATAATCAAAAAAATCCAAAACCAGCAACCGAGGCCAAGGATCAGCCTAGAGACTCTGGTCGGCTTCCATAGGTATGGACCTAAGTGATGAATCGACCAAAAAACTAACAGAATGAAGAAATCAAAAAAATAGGACCAATTTTCCCAAAAAAATAAAGAGAAATGAAAAAATAGGCAATCAAAAATCAAAAATCAAAAATCAAAAATCAAAAATCAAAAATCAAAAAAATTTGAATCTTTTTCGAGGGAACCCTCTACCCTAGTCGTTCATGGTGGCAATTTTATTTATTTATTTATAATTAATTTATTATTATTATTTTACATTATCAGGAAGAACAGAGGAATAAAAAATAAAAGAATGGAGGAAGAATTTTTTTTTCTTTGCTGTGATACCAAGTTAAAAATGGAACACAATAATTGAGAGAGAGAGAGAGAGAGAGAGAGAGAGAGAGAGAGGAGAACTAGAGATTTATTGGGAGAGAATGCACAAAACCTAATTAGGTTTTTTACCTCTTTAAACACATGTATTTATAATATTAAGGGAATAAGTACAATGACACTATTACCCTCAAGCACATAACTTAACAATCTTCAATGGAGGAGAGAGAGTGTTTTAGGGAGAGAACTTTTTCTTTGTTCTCTACCCAAAATGTACCTTATATATAGGCCGAGGATCAGCCTCTGGGTCATTCTATATGCATATATATATATATATATTCGATATACATGCATATAGGATATTCCAAGATGCTGTGAGGACCACTCTCAAGAAACTATCTGAGACCTGCGGCCGCAATATTTTCTGTGGTTGCTGGTACAACCTGCAACTGTGGTTTTCCTAATGGCGGCTGCACCTTTTTCTTCTCCGCATGTTCCTACTCTGTTCGCAGGTTCATAAAACCTAAGGAAATTCATGATTACTTGCAGGTTGAAGGCTTCTTGAGTGGTTTTTCTCCTTTTGCGCAATTTGACTCCTTCTTTGCTCACTTTTGAAAGAAACAAGGTTTTGGTTTTGAAAAGGTAAATCAGACTTAGTTGAATGCTCGAAATGACATCTTAATCCTTGAAAACTCTTTTCAGAAACATTTTTAAGGCTTGAAAATGTTTTTTGGCTAAAAAGGGTTTAAGGTTGGGGACTTCTTCCATTTGAAGACTTGCGCTTGAAAGTAATCAAGGTCCATCTTTATTTCATCATCGAGGGGTTCCTTTGGATTTGCCCAGTCTTAGGGGTGTCTACATCTATTTAAAACAAACGACAACAGGTAGTACATCTTTAACTAAATCTTGTTGTATTTAAATTCATTCACAAATTTTAGTAAATCAACTTGAAGACAAACAAAAGTTCATGGAAATTAGAGTTGCCAATTGTTACATGCTTTGGAATTAGAAATGTTTTCTGAGTATTAAGTTACAATTTGCCACTACTCATTTTTACCTCTATTGGGTGTGTAATCTATCAAATATTTCCTAGAACATAAAGTTCATATTGCACTAAACCGGGCAAACTGACTAGTTTTCGTATGTTCAAAATCAAATTCATTTAGTATGTGCTAATGATTTTCATTTTGGCCAGCATATGCTTGAGCAATGGAATACCACTTCGAGAAGTTGCACCATCATGGTCAAAGCATGAAAGTTGGGAAGAGGCATTCATTACAAGTAATTCCCCCTAACTCCTTTCCTAATAGCAATAGGAATATTTCAAAGATATGTGGTTACGTATAGCAAGGGAGCCTTGTCTTTCACATGTGGCGAGTTTGGGCCTTTTGTGATGCAGCGGAATACGCACAAAACTATATATCGTTCTAGTAGACGAAAACTCTTGAATCCACAATAAAGAAACCCCTTGAATCCGTAAGGAAAATAGAATAACTTGAAAATTATATTGATTGAGAATGCCTTTGCCTCTAGGCTTACATGACTATTTATACTAGATAATGTCTTGGTCACTTAGCATACATGGAGATTAAGTAGTTATTCACCCAAAAAAAAGGAGACCAATTAATATAATAAACTAATTAACTAGGATGGTACTAGTCTTGGACACCAAGTATACTTGGAGACCATATAATAATATAAGAAAGAAACTAGTCAGGAAATTCCTTGGTCATCAAGAAAATTATATTCTTTAATAAAAATTCTTGATAGCCAAGTAAAAATTGTCCAAAAATATCATTTCCCCCTTGGTCAATAATTTGATTTCCTTGACTTGTGTTTGTCAAATTGCCTTAAGAAATCTGCAGCCACTTGTTCTACATCATTTTGGCATTCATGTTGTTAGAAGCACTAGTAGATCCCCCCCAAAAAATATGAATAGTAATAAAATTCTTCAGAAACTATTTGTGGGGCTTATGAACTAATGTTGTCTCATGGTCACCTCCCTCCACCCAAAAAAAAAGAAAAAAATTGAAAGAAAAATTTCTAATATTGGTTCATCTTCTACTCAATTTTTTCATAGTTTCATGACCACCCCCATGAACTTATATAATAACAAAATGTGCCTTGCCTGTAACTTGGCTTATTTTCATAATAAACTCACATCAAAGTTCCTGTATTTCTAAAATAAGCCCCATATTAAACCTTCTATACTTTTTAAATGCCTACCAATTTTCCAAATTTAAAAATAAAAAATAAAAAAACCTCAGCTTTGTGGGATGTTGGGAGTTTCTCTTCCATGCAATGCAGAAGATAGGCTTTGGTGGTTGATGGAGTAATTTGCTTAGATGTTTTTTTGGGGGCTTTTATTGTGATCTTTTTAATTTTGTTGAAGGGTGTCTAAGAGATTAAGACCGGGAATTCCCTTTCTCCATTTTTTTTTTCAATATTGTCGTAGAGGCTCTTGGATGATGGCAAGGGCAAAAAAGAAAGAAAAGAAAAGAAAAGAAATAATTCTATTCATGTGTATGAAGTAGGGGATAAGGGTGGCTCTCAAATTTTAGAGTGACATTTGATATTTGCCGATATACCAAGAAGCATGGACACTTCTAAGAAGGTGGTGTATTTGTATCGTGTCTATGTCAGACACCGACGCTCATTGGACACTTCCCGACACGTGTCCGACACTCATAAAAACATGTTCTACTTTTTTAAAAGTTTTTTTAAACTTGGACACCCTTTGGACACTTGGAGGACATGTTTTTTTTTTAATCTATTTATTATCTTTGAATGATATATTTTTATATGAGACATATAATAAATATATAAAATTACGTATTTTGTGCATGTCCCTCACGTGTCGTGCCTTGCATTTTTTGAAAATTGACGTGTCGGCGTGTCCGTGTCTATGCTTTCTAGCCGATATACCTTTATGTTTTGCAAAGCCAAGGAGGAGTTGAGGTGGATAAGGTGTGTCCTTTTGTGTTTTGAAGCAGTTTTGGGTTTCACGTTAACTTGGCTATGAGCGATTACCAAGGTGGGGTAGGGGGCTAATATGGATTATGTGGCTCAAATTTTGTGTTGTCGTGTGAATGGGTTACCTACTTATTTGGGTTTGCCTTTTAGGTTCTCATTTAATGCTAAGTTAGTGGGATATGGTGGTGGAGAGATTTAAAAGGAAGCTGGCTTCTTGGAAGAGAGTAGATATTCATGAGTGGTAGGTTGACCCTGATTGAAAAACAATTGATCTCATTAACTTGCCTACCTTTATAATGGTTGTTCTATCTATTCCTAACTCAATGATTAGCAGGTTGGAAAGGTTGCAAAAAGGTTTCTTGTGTGTGGACAAGGGAAGGAGTTTTAACTATCACTTGGTGAATTAGGATTCAGTTTGCTTGCCAATACATAAGGGAGCTATGATTAACAGGTCTGAGAGGTTGCAAAAAAGTTTATTAAAGGAGGGGACAAGGGGAGGAGTTCCCATACATAAGGGAGCTAAGAGGCACAGGCATAAACATAGGTGCAGACATGGAACCATTACATCACAAATGTCAAAACTATTTAAGTTCAATATTGGATAGATAATCTATCAAAATGACATAAATCCCCACTATTTTGTTTAAGAAGTAATAATATGGTTTTAACATTTTTTCTGCACCAAAAATTCTATATAACCAACATAAATGGAAGTAGATAAAACGACAATGTGGCATGTCTGGACACTAGGCACTTGTGTCCTTGACATGTCACCCACTATATCTAGCGGAAAAATTAAACCACTAAACACTTTATGGTGCATATGTGTGTATCCAACACACATTGGGCACTACTATGGGGATTAAAATGAAGTGTTTGTGCTTCATAGTAAGAGAGGTTTGGGGATTCATAAATTGGAGTTGTTATAGAGGTCTACTATAGAGATTAGGGGTTGTGGAGAGAGGTAGTGGAAGGGAAATATGGAAGTATGTAGGGTAACTGACCATTGGTAGAGTGGCGAGACCTTATGGGGTGGGATTTTGGAAGGATATTAGGAGAGTTTGGGAAGAATTGACAAAAATATTTTTGTATAAGGTGGGTATCGTGGGTAGGATTAAGTTTTAGTTTGATTCATGGTGTGGTCGTAGACTGTTGAAGGAGGTGTTTTTGGATTTATTTCCCTTGGTATATGACAAAAAAAATTCTCTGCAAGATTGTTTGGTGGTGTTTGATAATACTGTAATTTGGAATTCGCAGTTTAGGAAAGCTTTGGGAGATTCATTCTAAGGACTCTTTTTTTGGGTGGTTAATGATTTCGGGTTCTGAGCTTCCAAGGGATTCGTCATAATTCTTTGGCTTGGCATACTTCGAAGAAGAGGTGTTTTTGTTCGTTCTTTCTATCAAGATTTGTGTAGTGGGGGGATGCTTTTCCCATCCTTGGAAAGGTATTTGGATATTTAGGGTTCCTTGATGAGGATTGTTTCATTTATTTTTATTTTTTTTGGTGAACTACGGGTCTTGAGGCCATCGTTATCATTGATAACCTTAGGAAAAAGGTGAAATGTGTTCATTGATTGGTTGGATGTGTAAGAGGATAGTGGAAAGAGTGAATCATCTTTGCTTACAATTTTCAAAGTGAGTTAGAGTCTTATTTTTTCAGTGTTTGGTATGGAATGAGTAATGCCAACATATGTGGGGATATGCTTTCATGTCGAATGTTCGGATGCCCAAAGAAGAGGGAGAAGAAGGTGACAAGGTGTGGGAAGCAGCAACATTGGGTGTTTTGTGGACTATTTGGAATGCGGTAGCAGAACTTTTGAATGAGAGACGGTTGTTGGTTCTCTATTTTGTCTTTTATTGAACTTATTAAAGATTGATACATGCCCGTGGATGTATAGTTTATTGGATTTCGGCTTTTGAGTGACTAGGGTTCATCTCCTTTTTTGCATTTGTTAATGAACTTTTATTTATCAACAAATATGTGAACCCTACCCAAAAAATAATATTCAGCTACCCTTTCAATGTGCTTGATTGAGTTCTCCCATAAATGGAACAGCTACCAACAATTCAGTTATATAATTAAACAATGTCTATAGCATATCTTTATGTGAAAAGTACGGAATCTAATAATTACTTTACATTCTTCTTATTCATTGCCAAGTAACAAGAAAGCTTTGGACTTCAGTTCTTTTCTGGTATTGAGTGGTTTTTCCCAATGGTGTGGTGGAGCTTCTACATTGTTGGCTGGGGGCTAGTGTGGGAAAGATGAGGAAGAAGCTGTGCTGTTTGGTTTCCTCATGCATTAAGTGGATTATTTGGGGGAAGCAGAATCATAGATCTTTTGGTGGCATAAAAGTTCCTTTGTATAGGCTTAAGAGTACATTTGTATATTAACCCTTCTCTTGACCAATTCTTAGAGTTTGTAGAGTTTTTGCCTTTTTTGTTTCTCTTTTGTTTGGCATTCCCTTAATGCCATATTTAATGAGATTGTATTATTTATCAAAAGCAATTATTATTTTATTATTTCTCTTTTGTCATAGTAATTTCTATGCCGTAGTAGACATAACAGACAGTTCATAAATTTCTGTGCATAATTACAGTTTCAAACTATAGGTAAGCATGATTATGGTAGCATATTCATATATCTAAGTGTCAAACTTCTGTTAGATACATATTATTAATTTCATTACATAACTTTATATACGCAAAATAATTTTGAAGAGATTTCATCCTGTGAAGGAACAACTTCTGAATCCACTGGTGGTAAGGACTACATAGTAAACGCTAGCTTCATTGGGCCTCCACTAAATGCAGCAATTTGGTCAACTGTATTGCTCAATAACTGCGATCTGACTGTTTGATTCCTCTCTGGTCCCTGTGTAACTTAATTTCATTGAGCATTAAAAGGACAGGTTGGCCCGATGGTAAGACTTGCCATTAACGTCCCTAGTGGCACAGGTTCGAGTCACAAAAACCACCTTTCCAGAAATGAGTGTAAAGTTGTGTCCATCTTGCCCTCGTCACATCATGCTTTAGCGGGAGCCTTGTGCACGTTGGGTCATCTTTTGTTTTTATTTTATTCTTAATAATTTGAATTGTGGGTCACTTGTAAACCCTGCAACCCTATTGAAATATCTCTACTCCCATACATAGGGGGCATCTCAAAGTTTAGTGTGTTTGAACAATTTGCTGTCTAATATTGCAACCTAATGAATTGTGTGGTTAGGATCTGCACGTGGAACTTGGAACCTTTCTTTTGCTGTTGTGAGGCTGAATCAAGTTTTATATGTTTGTCTCCCCCCACCCCCTCCTACCACCACCATTTGACGACTCACCCTTGCACAACTGCCTGTAACTCATCTGTCTTAACCAATCAGACAAAGCCATGGAATGCCAAGAGCTTTTGCCGACTGTCTATGCCACCTGTGTTTGTAGCCAGACATAGGGTTGAATCACCAGTGTACACAAGCAAGGGTCTTCTTACAAGCCATATATGTGCTTGGCATCTCCCCATGCCTTAATAATGAAGTCACCAACAAGAAACTTAGACATGTCCAAGACTACTTTATTCACACCATCCTACCAATTGCCTGGCACTTGTCTAGTACTCACTAGCAACTATATAGCCACAACTAAGGGTCCTTTGGGACATGAAATCCATATGAATTCTTGCTGGGATGTTGGCATGCCGTCATACCTAGGGTGGTACCCACTTCTTGTAACACTCTAACCTGTTTCCGATATGGCAGGAGGAAACATCAACACCATGTAAGAGGAATATAAACCTGTTTATGGAAAATGGCTACACTTTCCCATTTTTCAAAAGTTTTGTTGCACCAATCTCCCATCTGTAAGCGCCATCCAAACATGCCACGTACTGTTGGCTGATGCAATGCTCATGGGTGTACCCGTAAGCAAGCCAAGCCATGCTGTGTTGCCGTCCACCAAATCATACTGGGCATGGCTGCTGCCCATTCACACCTAGGCTCTACAATTTAAAAACTTGGTGGTTAAGGTTAACTTTGGATGGAATTTGAGAAAATATAACATATATTGATCACTAGGCATGCTAAATTTTAGTATATTTCTCATTACTGCTACTTTGGGAAATTTAAGTTAAACTCTGTTGCAGGTAGTTTGAGGCTTTTGCAGCATGTGGAGACGATTCAAGCTCCTAGTTCATGGAAATTGTTGGAATCAAAATCATGGAAGGATGTAACATGGGAGGAGAAACAGTTCAAGGTACTTTAACCTCTAGTGGTAACAAGAGTTTGGACTTTGACCTGCCATATGACACATTTTTTTTGATATTGCTCTCTATTTAATATCAGGAGGCCCCTGGGAGGATCACAGCATTTATCCAGGTAATTGATGTGTATTGTGACAAGATTATGTGTGAACATGGTGTGTGTGTGTATGTATGTGTATGAGAGGAGTGAATTAGCGAATTCTCTGCAGAAAAGTGAGGGTGTGTCTGATTCATGTTATAAAAATGGTCTATGACTTTTCAAATCAGACAGAAAAGTGAATCTTTTTTTTTTGGATGAAAGGAAGTCTTTGTGAATCTTCTTTTGCTCTTATTGATTTTTTTGGAAGAGGTTTCCTTTGATAAGGATCTATAGATTTTTGTATGCACCTGGTGTGCAAAGGTTTGTTCTCCTTCTTGGCAGGTTTTTGAATATATATATATATATATATGTTGGATTTATTTATCAGAGAGAGAGAGAGTTCTCCTGGAAATTGTATTTTAGGCAACACAACTATTGGCAATCATATTATGGTCGCATTTTTCAGTCTCCTAACTATGAAAGGAAATATTATGAGTGTAAATTGCACTAACCTCCCATGAGGTTTCAGAACCATGCACCAAGACCTCCTTTCTTTGAAAAATAGGCAGGGACCTCTCCTACCATTAGGATTCATTTAGAATTTTCTGTTATTGGCTATTTTAGCTCAATAAAATGACTATTTATATACAATTTTGCATTACCACCATATGATTAAAGGTTAATATGGTAAAACATTTTATGTAAATTAATTTTTAATACTTTATATGTTCTAACAAATTAAATATATAATAATGATGCTTCACTTTTTATTATAATAATTTAACATAAAATAAGTGTGTAGAAAGAATATAAAAATATAATAGTCGAAAAAAACTATCACTATCATGTTTAATTTTTGTGAAGTAGTATATATTTAATTTATATAAAATACTTTACGTATTTAATTTTTAAAGATACAATGCAAAAGGGCATGTATGTGTAGTTATAGTCATTTTATTGAATCAACCCAATGATAATGTAATATTCTTAACGGGACTTGTTATTTTTTTAAACAAAGGGGTAGTGAACTCCATAAATTGAAGGGAGGTTAGTGCAATTTACTCGTATTATTAACTGTGGGAGGTGTAGTGATTGCATCAAATATAAAAGCATTTGTTTTGGTGCAACTAAGATATTTTATCAACAAAACATAACTATCAATATGAACCTCGTCTCCCAACCTGTATGCACCCTTCTTCTGGTTAATCTTAACTTTCATGAAACATATGGAGACTTAAAGTAATGAATGTTTTCTCTTCTGTGTCTTATGCAGAAGGAGATCATGAAGAAAGTTGGTGTTGAAGGGTATGCAATTGCTTAAAGGCTGATGGGGTTCTTTCAACTTTATTGTCTTTGTTGACAAGGTAATGCAAACTGCAAATTGATACCAACGTTCTGGAGAAGTTCCATGCTCTTGGGGCATTGTCCCGAGACCACTCAGCCACACTATTATGCATGTTCCGCACCTAAATGCAGGAGGTCCACGTGATTGTGTGGCTCCTAGGGCGTCGGAGCAATGCTTTAGGAGCACACTATAATTTTTCACCATTCTGGTGGATCAAAAGGTTTCTGTTTTACATTGAATTGTTTGTTTCTTATGGAAAAAATCTGACATAACAAAATTTTATGCAGAATTTCAATTTAAAATGATGTGACAATGATATTGTTGAGATAGTACACCTTGAGGGGAGTTTTGGTTTGCAGTTTTAGGACAACATCAACCAATCATTCCGTATGAATTCTATGCAACTCTTCTACTCGTATGGTATTACTCTCGTGGTGTTTGGTTTGTTTTATGTACTCGTACAGATTGTCATCTTTTGTCTATGAAATGGTTAGCAATTAAGATATTTGGTGATTGGTGAAACATAATTGTAATATACCCAGAAAAAATACCCCCCACCAAAAAAAAAAAAAAATCCCAAATTTGGATGTATGGTATAGATTTAAATTCTGTGGTGTTACATGCACTAATTGGTATATTAATTAGTGTACCAATATATGCTATAATATTACCATTTCAAAATTATGGACTCCACTCATTATATAAATTACGAAGATTCAAAATCTCTAAAATTATGTCACATCATCTATTAGTACACTTATTGGTATATTAATTGGTACATAAAACTTTATTCATTTAAATTTGGTAGTGTCTCGGGATGAATGTGATCCATATGTCATTTTGGATACGTTTCTAGATTTGTAATTTTGTTATTGGATATATATGTACCTTATTATTTCAAGGCCACTTACCAATGAGTCCTATATACAAAGTTTAAAATCCATCTAATCTCAATACAAAACGCTTGCACCAATTAATTCTATATATTTTTAATTGCTATAAAAAAATATGTATTTATTTTTTTTTAAACTTTAAAAACGCTGCTATGTTCCACCGCAGTCGGATTTTCGTCAAACAGTCATTTGAGACTCGTCGAAATATTCAATATCACTGAGAAGTTGTCGAAGTATTGCTGGAAGTTCGTTGAAATATCACCGGAGTGTTCCAAACATCACTGGAAGTTGTCCAAAATGTTCATTGAACATCATCGAAGGCTCACCGGATTGTCTAGTATATTGTTAGAAAATTAAAAAAAAAAAAAGAATAAATGAAAAAATTAAGCAAAATGTGTTAAATATTGATAAACTGAAAGCAAAAAAAAAAAAAAAAAAAAAAAAACAGCAAACAACAATGGAAAAAGGATATATTATTTTTAAATTTTTGTAGGATTTAAACAAATAATCTCTAATATTGATTAAATTGAAAAGTAAGCTTTAAAATTATAAAATGTTACAGTTTCAACGCACGATTTTATTAAACATTTATTCTTATTAATCAAACTAGAAAACATGTTATGAAATTTTAAAATTTTACAGTTTTAAAGAATGTTATGAAACTTTAAAATCTTACAGTTTTAAAGTAAGATTTATTTCAAAATCAAAAAAAAATGAAAATGTAAAATTTTACAGTTTTCATCGCCTATAACTAAAATTTCAAGACAACTTATTCAGAATTTAAAAATTGTCTCCATTAAAACAGGAAAATAGAAGTGTGGTAGAAAAAATGTAAAAAAACTGAGAAGTCGAAGGAAAGAAACAGATATGGAGAAAATATTGTACTCCGACAACTATTTTTGGTTTAGATCTAGTCGGATTTCATGTAGATTTACTCAGATTTGATGTAGATCTGAGTAGATCTACAGATTTGTGTAGATCTACTCATATTCTTCACCGAAAACTTGTCTCTTCTGCCGTCAGTGTGGGTGAAGTTCGAAGTCAATGATTTGTGGTTGTCGGTGAATTCTAAGCAATGATGGTCGTCGGTGACTACATATTAGAAAGAGAAAAAGAAGAAGTAAGGAATGGTTGGTGGTCATCAGAAATCAAGAAGAGAAAGAGGGAGGGAAGAACGAATACACAGGAAGAAAGAAGAATGATGAAGAAAAATAGGTAGTGGACTTTTGAGAGTATTCAATAGGTTGTGAGACTAAATAGACTTATCTGTTTTTAAATAGAATTTTTAGGTAATTTACCATTTTTTCAATGATTTTGATGTGTTTTTGGACATTGGGTTGTTTAAAAACCAGTAAAATGTAAATGTTGAGATCATTTAATAAGCATTCTAGCGGCAAACAGTTGTAAGATTCCTACTCAGATTCTTGTTTCCTTTATTTTCTCATGACCAAATGAAGCTAATAACATGCTCCCAGTTGCAGTAATTTCGTGCAAGTTGTCTTGCTGGTTTTGTTGGCCCTCCTTTTTGTCTATTCATTCTTCTGTAACATGGATTTTAGCTCTTATTTAATAAGTCTTTTGGATTCTAAGAATCATATTAAGAATTTTTGTAATGAAAGTCACAAATATTTGTGATGTATTTTGTCATTTTGTTATAAAAGTTACGAATAACAAATGGTGTATACAAATCACTTGTGGTGAGAAATGTTATAAACTATTTTGATTAGAAAAATTATGACATATTGTGATGTATATTACGAAATGTTGTGATTGTGTTAGATGATAGAGTATGTGTAGTACACTCCTTTTTATAAAATGTATACCATTGGTTAACACTTTCGGTCTGTCTTCTACCCTCATTTACTTCTATTGGATCTTATCAGGTGTAGGCTTGACACAGTTAGGATTATAAACAAGTTGAATAGAGTATGATTTGGGTGGTGAGCTATTTAATTTAATTAGAAAATTTAATGAATTTTAAAGTGTATTTAAATTTGATTTTTTAAGTTAATTTAAAACGATTTTTAATTGAGTCGAACTTAGTATATTAATGAATATTAAAGTGCAAAACTAGATTTGTTTACATTTTGAGTGAAACTTTAAACTTCTAAATGACTTTATTTTTTATTTGTCTAATTTCACACAAATTTTTAATAGTCAAATATGAGTTAAGCTTGAGTCATTTATTTATTTTTATTTAAATAAAATATATTGGACATTCGAAATGGGCTAAGAAACAAAAATAAATCGAATTGAATTCTATTATAAAAAAAAAAAATCAATTTCATTTGGTTACCTATAAAAAGCTGGAAAATTGTAGAAAAATGGAAACAAGTTGAAAATTTTATGAAAATGTGGAAGAATAAAAGCAATTGCAAGATAGATGGAAGGGTGGCTCTATTTGCACCTCCAAAAGATTGGTTGAACATCTCAATTTAATGAATTTTTTTTTTATTACTATTATGTCTTTATTTGAAATGATCAAAAAGTATTTGATATTGAAAAAAATGCAAATAGTGTTTTGGATACCCCCATATTATAATCAATCTC